AGCAGCTGTGTTTATGAGCAGCATAAAGTATGTAGCAAATGTAATGTTATTTTTAAGACACAGCAGACAGAGTGAGATCCAAGAATGAGGTGGTAGGGATTTTAACTCCTTACCCTCTGCTGTGTTACTGACCTGAGGTGGGATGGAACACATCTGCAATTTTTGCTGTTCAGAAAGGATCAGTTAAAACAAATATGGGTTGTGCACAAGTTGATTTGAGCCTAGTCAACTGAGGTTGACGATACAATACATTTGCTAGTCTTGTACCGTAAGAATCTTCATTTCAGCCACAAGAGGGTTTGTGGTCAAGCCAAGCTTGATTTATATGTTGATGCCTAGGAATGAACTACTGCTAGTCTTGACTGTGGAAGTTGAGAAAGAACAATTATTCCTAAATGCTTTGACGGACTTCTTCAAACAAACAAACACTTCCTATAAAATGGGGACATCTACAAAAGGCTTTAATGCAGACTATTTGAAAGGGAGGTGTGAGAGCGGGGAAAAAGTCATGATCAGTTTGAATTACATGACTGATTTTTGTTTGCTTGTTTGTGCATTAGAAATAAAGATGCTAATGGAGCATTTGTAATAAGTGTCCTTGGCAGATTTCTAGAGAGGACTCCTTTTTTGCTACCAATCAAATGAGAATAAGCAAGAAGTTTTTATCTTATTCACATGCTATTTTCTTCTTGTACCTCTTGATGCATGTGTTGTATTTTGATTTCATAGTGATGCATCTACTGATAAGTGGAAATGCAAATTCATATCTCTATCCTGAAATGTGCAAAGCAAAAAGCCTTTAGCACATGTCAATATACAAATCGAAAGTCTCTTATCCAGGTTTACCAGGAGGGACACTGCAAGACAGGTGACAAGACTGCTATTGTTATTCCTGCAAACAAGACTGCATCATGCAGGAGTGTCGCACACTTTTGAAGGACAGATATTGCAGGGCTTTGAAATCTCCCTACATCTTATCACAGATGTGAGCCACTGAAAGACTTTCTGTACATGCTCAGACATGCCCAAGTATCTCAGAGTGACCATGAGTCTTGAAAATTTACTTGATTTGTAAAGTGGCAGAATTCAGTCCCTTTTCTTAGTACAGAAATTGCTACTGTTGTTTTGAACACACAGTACGCACAAGCCAGCCACTAAGTCTTTAATTTAACTTTCCGTACCCAGGTAACAGCAAGATACAGAGGTTACTAACCTCCTGCCCAATAGCCGTGCTGACTGGGGTTAATGGGAGTTGAAATCCAAAACATCTGGAGGACACCAGCCTGGAGAAGGCTACTTTAGCTCCCCTGAAACAAAATAGTTGAACTACCTCAGGGCTGGTGACAGCCATCACATATAGGCTGGTCCCTTGATCTTCCTGGCTCATTACAATAGAGGTTCTCAATCTTGGGCAACCCAGATGTTCTTGGACTGCAACTCCCAGAAGCCTTCAGCGCTACTGTGCTGGCTAGGCTTTCTGGGAGTTGCAGTCTAGGAATATCTGATCTACTCAAGTTTTGGAATCACTATGCTGAATAGGTGAGCGAAGTGGTAAATGCCTCTCTTTAAGAGTAGGATCTCTGCATTCTTGATATGCTGAATAGGTGAGCGAAGTGGTAAATGTAGGATCTCTGCATTCTTGAAAGAGATACAGTACTTGTAACAACACTATCGAGGAAGCCCACCCTGAACCCCTACCATAACTAAGCAATTACAACCAGTGTCCAATATTGTATTCTTGGGCGAGGTGCTGGAGATCGTTGGATGACAATGACATCCAAACCGATTTCTATCTGGCTTCAGGCCTAGATATGGGACAGAAACAGCTTTGATCGATGGATGACATACACTTTACTGGCTATTGCTGTATTTCCTGGAACAATTCAAAGTGCAGGCTGTGACCTATAAAGCCCTCTATGGCTTGGTTCCACACTATCTGAAATACAGGTTTGTCTGGGCTGCCTTCTGTACCTGTTTTAGAGAAAGATGGCAATAAAAATAAAATGTTTCAGGTGGGACAGCCATAGAAGATTATAGAAGGAAATATTTCTCCCTGACTCGCCCTCTTAGCAAGCTGGTCACTAAAGCAGAGCTTGGCTCATTCTCGAAACAGTAGCTGTCCCTGTTCCATTCCAAAATAAGCAGCTGACAGCACAGATTATATACCAGAAAAACTCAGTGTGCCCATAAGAATATTGTTCATCCTACGCAGACCAATGATAACACAGGCAAAGGACTCTAGTGAGAGAGACTTTTAAGTGAAGACAGGTGAGAGAAAACATCTGTTGAGAGAAAAAATATATTGCCTGTGTGAACTAGGAATTAAGGAATATTAAAGAAAAAATATCTTATATTTCCATGTTAAAAAAAACATGAAGCAGCCTACAAGATCAATAAACATACTATTTAAAAAATAATAAGATGAAAGCTAGAAGTCTGTCTGATTCATTTTCTTCTTTAACACAGTGACACACCGGTTCCTTATGTAAAGGATGCTTGACAGCAATAATCCCCTACTGATTTTGCTCCTCAGCAGCAGCTGGTGTTCGGAGGAAGAAAGGAGGCAGCAGGACTAACAGTCATGGACAGCATTACTTTCCATGATTTTTGCTAATTCCCTTTTAGAGATTCCCACCAAAATTCTTGCTGCAACAGCAGGTTTGGCAAAAACTTAACAACTGCAGCAATTCTCAGATCACAAGAAATGTCAAAATGCCCTCCTGCACCATAAAGCCTTGCACACAAATGAGCAAGACTGTCTCCTTCTTCTCTGAAAGTGAAAGTTACTGGCGATGGGAAGCAGAAGGGTATGTACCAGGTGCTGCATAAATTGGGGGGGAGGCATCCATTGGCCATGTGTTAATCAGCTCTCTTGTGTCTCTGTTCAAGAGTTTGGGGAGTGTATGATTATACTCCTTTATCCACCCACCCACACCCCCCAGATAAATACAACAGACATCTATAATATTTGCCGTAGGGAACATGAGTATAATGTAAACACTACTGCATATGCTGAGTCAGTGAAGATGTATAAAAGCAGCAGAGGACCTCACTATACTGCTTATATTATTTAACGATTCCCATAGATTGTGACTCACACCTAAAGTTATAATCCATCAATTGGACTATAATTCATCAAATTCACTTACAATACCTTATTACCAAGGTGGAAGCTATAATCACATTATTGAGAAGGTGAGCAACTTTGTCAGTCAACATATATATGGTTGCCCAAAGTATGGCTCCTGAGTGACATCAGACCCTCAAATGGCCCACAATTAAAAACAAAACAGTAATTGCTGGTTCTTTAAAAAAGGAAAAAAAAACTCTTTCATGAGCTTGCAGGGGGGATAAGGGGCAGTAAAAATGCCCTCAGTGGAGCTCCATGCACCCTGTTTTCACTTGTTTAGAAGACAGTGTCCCAGAGAGCCTCTGCCATGTGAAGCTAATGTCCTCCAGTTTAGGCTCTCCAAGTCTGTCCCTCAGCAGGCAGAGTACCAGACATTCTTTGGGCTTGCAATAATGTTTGTGTGCTCAGATATTTGTTTCCCAAGACACACCTATTTCTCTTTGGTATTCACATGACTACTTCCAGGTTAATACCATGGTTATGATAGCTAACCAGGTAACGATAACTAACCAGGGAGATACAACTGATAATATCCCAATTACAACTCTTTATGAAACTCTTTGGCTATGACCACCACCAAAAAAAATTTCTCCAAAAATCAAAACAAAGAGCTGAACAGAATGTGATGAGCATAAAAAGAGAGCTTCAAGCCACAGGTGACGTAAGGAGCGTATCCTTAGTTTCCAAGTTAATAGGTGACTTTATTTGTAGTGGTTCTTATTGGTTGTGAAGCACATAGGCTGGCAGGATACTTGCAAGGCTGGATGCTGACATGGGCCCAGTCAAATTAAAGGGCCCATCCAAAAACAAATGCTTTGATTTTTGTCTTTACTTGTCCCAAGGCACAGCCTGGTAAAGGGCACTGAATGCCATGAAGGAGCCAACCTGTCTCTGAGATCCATCCCTTAGTGCAGTGGTCCCCAACCTTGGGCCTCCAGATGTTCTTGGACTACAACTCCCTGAAATCCTGGCCAGCAGAGGTAGTGGTGAAGGCTTCCACTAGTTAAAAGAAGTGGATGCAAGGTTGGGGACCACTGCCTTAGTGGACATACCCTCCCCCCACACTCAGGCATACTTATCCAGAGCAGAAAACACCTAAGCTAAGGTGAGAAGAATGCAAGAACTCAGAACAAAACTGTCACACACATTTGTATTGTATGATTTAGGCAAGGAAACAATAGAACTACATTTACCTAGTGATAGTTGGATGTTATGCAGTAGTTAAACAAATATTTTTCTTAATTGTTTAAAAAATAACAATGATATCCCCATCTTCAACTATGCTGGCTGAAGTAAAGGAATTTGGGGAGGAGGGTAGTCAGGAATGTAAGGATTAAAAGCGCTATTCAATTTTGATACTCAGATCTTTGCAGTTAATGAATTTCCCAGTTGATGAGTTTTGGGGATCCTAGTAAAAACAGAAAGTAGATACAGCAAGCATGCATCCTGCCCACCCCCTGTTGCAGAGCAACTACACAATATCCTATGAAGTAGTATCCAATAGTTAAAAGAAGTGGATGAACAAACAGTCAAGGTAACAAAAGGGTAAGTAATGTTAGCAGGCCGGTCTATAAGGTCCTCAGTACAGCATACAGACCACAGAAAGTGTCCAATAAATACAAATGCAAAAATAGGCAATACCTTTACAGATCACCCAAAAAATCATAAAACAGTACATAAGCTTTTGTGGATCAAAAAAACCAGTTCATCAGGTTTCTACCAGTGTGAAGAACTTCAAGTCCAAAAGTTTATGGCAAGATGGTTTTTCCCAGGAAGGTTACTCTTAGATATAAAGTCCAAAGGTCCTTAGCAAGATGTCCAAACATCTATAAAAGGTAATTTAAAAATACACACAACATTCTTTACTCACCGGAATTTTGTTTGGGTGCTGTTCTCGGATCTGCTGCACTTCTTTACAACGATCCGCTGTGAAAATGAAAAACAGTAGATTTAGGAATTTGAAATACTTTCCTTTCATTCTTCAGTCCTCTGGAAGTCCTAAGAAAGTGCTTTTTGATGATGCTGATTTTTTTCAAAAAAAATTTAACCAGAGACGTTTGCAATCGAAATCACACAAATAATGCCAAATGGGTATGAATGTAACAGAAATACTAATAAATGATAATATATAGTATTTATATAGCAGCACGTTTCTACAAGTGCTCTAAACACTTTAGATATAAGCTCTTCTCAGTTATTCATCATGTTCTCCCTCCATACAAGGAAGCAATGCATGGAGAGTCTGAATAAGTAGTTTTTAGAATAATCACCTACAGTAGGCTGATACGGCTTCTTTCAAATTATACCCATCATAAATAGGTGCCCAACATCCATCACAGAGTGTTTCCAGCCTAAATACAGACTCTGTCCAGAAAGGAGTAGGCAGTCCTGTAACAATTTGTAGATGCTCTTGGCCTCTAACTCCCCTACTTCTCTTTTTTTTAAAAGGAGGTCATCAGCTCCTTTGCCTATGGATACCCCTGTCCATACTTTTCTACTTCTCAAGATCTAGTTTTACCCTGAACTTTCGAACCTACAGCTCCCTATCATCTGATCCCTAGGTCATTTACATATGTATGTGATCTTGTGTTACCTGACCCCACCTCCTCAAAAGGCGGAACATCATTAAATCCAGTCCAGATTAACAAAGCACAGAGTTGCTACAGGAGCCTTCACCAAACCACTTTTCTTTCAAGAAGTGTTAGACTACAACTAACATAAATCTCACAGCCAGCAGAGATGTATATGGGATTACGGGAGTTGTAGTCCAACAGATCTGGAGGTGAAGAGGTTGGGGAAAGTGTGCATTAATAACAATAAGATAGAAACGTATACTGACCTACATGTATAGCGTGCCAGATTAGTGGCTCCACTACTAGTTGGGCGGGACAGAAATGTAAACAAACAAAAACTAAAACTAAACTGGCCGTTATCCACGCTGGTAATGGTGAAGCCATAATAACCAACCATTTGCAATGCTAGTTCACCAATAAAGCATTCAAGAGAAAAGACAAAACTTTGAAACAAAGGGATGTGTTTGTTCAAGCAGTCTATCGCTCATAGTCTTAATACCGTTGACAACATTTTACATCACTTATCAATCAGTCGAAGCAGCTTACAGTCAATAAAATACAAAAACAAGAACTGGAAATCAGCAAGTAAACAGGATGACAGAACTGTTTTGCAACCTTCTGCTTTCCAGGCGTATGCCCAAGACATTTCAAGCAGACATCTAAAACTGCAAAGTGTGAAAGCAGCATATATTTGAAAACACATGAAATTACACAGTCATCCTTACCATGAATGGATGCCACTCTGCGTTCGCTTAGTATAGTAAACCTAATTTCTCTTTGTATACTACATGAAATAGCTGGGATTTGGAAATGTTGCCTTTTTGAAGTATGCCCTTCACCCATGGCACTGGTCATGTTGGCCAGGGGATTTTGGGATCTATAATGTCAAAAAACCCCATAACATTTCCAAGCTCTGGTAAGAGCCTCCAGATAGACCAGGAGCTGGGACCCTTAAGAACTGTTAAAACAGAACATCACAAGGTTATATTTTTCAATGTTTTCCAGATTATTTCAGAGTGATACTAAAATGGCTACAGGTATTTATTTATCTCAAGAGATTTCAATGGTCTCAAGAGACCATCGTGCAATGGTCAAGCTGGAGATTGCACACCACTGCAGGTTGAGCACTATTCTCAATAAAATACTGGCTACACTTTTTCTGGTGTGGTGGTTCAAATGTGAAGACTAGGACTTGAGAGACCTGGGTTCAAATCTTAGTATTTGGGGGGGGTAATTTTATTTTATTAACTACTACCAAACAACTATACAACACAACAACAGAGGAAGGAAAACAACAGGATTAACAAAACACGAAACATATAAACAGGGGGGCATCAGCTTTCATACAGTATCTAAAAAGATCTTGACTTCATGACTGTGATGTGATAATCTCTAATACATTATCTGCTCATATCTGTTTATGGGCCCAGTCGTAAAACATTTCCCAACTTTCCTTAATATATAGTCTTGAGTTCTCATGTAGTATCTCTGATAAGCTATCCATTTCAGCAATATCTAGTAACTTTTTAAGTAAATCCTCTTTCTTTGGAGTTTCTTGCGTTTTCCACTTCTGGGCCCAGATCAGCCTTGCTGCTGTGAATATGTGCAACAACATATATTTGGTTTTTTTATCAACAATTTCTGGAATTATATTCAATAAAAATATTTCTGGTAGTCTTAAATCATGTCCTTCTAATTTTAAAAGTCTTTGATCTTCCAGCATAATCCATTCCTTTATCCAACTCAATGCTGAAGCCTTATAGTATAATAAGCCATTTGGTAAACCCATTGAATGGGTTCAAATCTTTACTATTAGAAACTTGTGATGTTCTTTCAAATGAAGCGTGTTTCCCCCTTAATCCAACTGCTCCTTCATTCCAACAGCAGCTGATCAAGATGCTTTGCTGCCCAAGGAAAAAGACAAGAAGGTGACCCCTTCCTTGTATAGAAGTTAACTTGACTTTCGTTAAGAGAACAATATCCTTTAAAGCAGGCTTGTCCAGAATTAAGAACATAATATGAAACATAAACAAAATTGTCTTTGGAGATGTGGCTTTCCTGGTGCTGTATGTCCTTGGTTCTGTTGTGTAACATGAGGTCATGCATTTTAATAAACAATGCCTAGAATTTCTTGGACCAAGGTGCAGTAAACAAAAAAAGTTCAGGAAAGAGAAGAAAACCATATGAAAAACTTTAGATCAGGCTTGTCCAACCTGTGGCCCAAGGGCCGCATGCGGCCCAGGTCAGCTCATAATGTGGCCCAGTGCAATGTTTTATTTTTAAAGAAATTCCAAAGTTTCAAGTTACACTGCCGGTGCTTGCGGCCGGAATGTGGCCGGGGCATGTCACAACAGTAGAGGGGGAGAGAGGGAAGGAAGGAGTGGGAGGGGAGGGGACAGGGGGGGATGCGTGATTGCATTGCACCGTCCTCGTCAACAGGCAGACCCCCTCCCGGTCCCATAAACCCGCCAGAATCGAAGCTGGCAGCCTCTGCTGTCTGAGATCGCAGCTGCCGGTAAGTGCGCTTGGAGCGGGGCTGCGGCAGAAGGCTAGGGCTGCCCACCCATGCGGCCCGAACCAAATGTATGTGCGGCCCAAAACAAATTTTCATCTTCTAATGTGGCCCAGGGAAGGTGACAGGTTGGACACCCTTGCTTTAAAGTAACAAAAATGGTAGGCTAATTCAGGGGACCAACACATGCAATGAGGATTCATGGGGAAGAATTTTATACAGACAGGAATACAACAGATGCTATTTTTGAATTTCAGTTTTTGGACAAGCACTTGCATGGAGAGAAGGATGGAAATGGTGGGGGAGGAAGAAAGGGGAAAAGAGAAAGAATGCAGTTGAGGAAGGTGTGTGAGCCTTTATGAGGAAAGAGTGTGACATCATCTCTCGCCAGAGGGCGCTGTGCCAAGTCCAGCCTGCTTGGAAAAAACAAACAAAAAACAAAACCAGCCACTCCCTCTTTGCCAGGATGTTGGAAACCATGAGTACCCTTCCTGTACTAATACTAAGGATTACTAGTTTTCCTTCAGGCAACCTTATGTACGTTCAACTACCTAATGCTGTGTATAAACAATAACTTCATATGGATAGCTGTTCTTTAAGCTTGCACACAAATACTGATGTTATCACTCTACCTCTATGACTATTGTGTGTCCTTTCCTGCTGTCTATAAATTTGTGTGTGTTGTACTGCTCTTTCATATGTTTTTGGCATAATGAAACTTTGCGCATACATACACACATGCACACACTAGTGACTTAGATATCTGGCAGTGGAGTTCAAGTCTCCACCGGACCTCCTGTGAGTGGAGCCAGCTTGTGTGGCCTTGGGCGAGCTGTACAGCCCCAGAGCACCCCAAGAAGAAGGGAATGATAAACCACTTCTGAGTATTATCTACCTGGAAAACATAGGGGGGAAAAGGTCACCATGAGTCAGCATTGTCTTGATGGCACATGAGGATCATCATCAGTCACTAAAGTAATCACAAACATCAAGTTGGCCACTGCTGGAAGACTGCTGCACTTGACTGATGATTAATTCCCGTAGGGTAAATGCAACCTTTACCTCCATCCCGCCCCCCCCCCATCAAACCAACACAGTCACACACCTGTTTCTTAATAGGTTAACCCTTGAAGGTGACAGGAAACAGATCAGAATTCTGTTTCCACAGGGGTTTCATTGTTAGTAGCAGATAGTATATTAACTTTGCTTTGTACCAGCTATCATTTACTTGCTCTCAGGCAAGAAGATGCTTCCCAGGAAGTAAGGCAGAGGCTTATTGCAATCAACACAGAAGGTCATTTTTTTACAGATAAGGACTTGTAAGTAGTGTCTTTATTTCCAAAGCATCAACTTAACTGAACATTTTTTTGCAAATGGGGAAATCTAAAAAAAAAAAGGTGGGGGAGATCAAAGCATTCTGGAACACATTCTTGTGCATAAACTACAAATATAAAAAGCTGGCAATCACCTGGCTCAAGATAAATTTTCTGCCAGCAAAGGCTATTGCTCCTGGATAGTTACTCCAGGTATTTCCGAATTAATGGATAGAGTAGAAGTAAGGAAAATTCTCTCTTTTACAAGGTTAGCATTTATTATGTCAAGAGATTTCTTGACCTTTTTTAAAAAAAAAGGCTGCAGAGAACAATTTACTACAAATATTTAAATGACAGGGAAGGTTTAGTTAGGGAACATATGAGCATCAGAGAGCTAAAAAGCATTAAAAGGTCAAGTTAATTTTAAATCTTTCTCCATAATCCTTTACCACAGTTATGTCAGGTTACCTGAATGAAAAAGACAGGCTCCTAACTGTTATAATTCACATTTCATGCAATATAACTGGCCTGAAAAAAGCTGCCGGACAGAATCACACAGTCATAAGTATGGTAGAAAGAG